CTTGTGGCGTTCCTCTTGAAAGATAAGAGCATAAGCTTGGTGTATGTCCGGAACAGGTTCGGTGGCAATAATCTGAGATCGGATGTGACCAAATTGTTCGTCGTCGAGACCGAGCAAAAAGTGATGAGTTTTCTCCTATTCCTCACGCGCCCAAATCAGAGCCGCAGCCTCACATCGGCAACCACAAGTTGGATCAACAGATCCATACAGCTTGTTCCATAAAGTCACAAATTGATTGTAATAAACAACCACAGTTTGTCCTTTTTGACACAAAGATTGGAACTCAGATTTCAATTGATGAATACGAGGTCCATTCGACCCCCCATATCTGGTCTTCAGATCTAACCATAATTCATGAGAAATTTTATGGGAGATAATGGAAGGTTGGATGTGTTCATCAACACTGTTATAGATCCAAGAACAAATAATGGAATTATTAGCTTTCCATGCCGCCAATTCCTGTTCATCAGTGGGTTTAGGAAACCCGGAGGGGTGGAGAAAACCTGCTCTGCTACGCCCTTCGAGAGCATTTACAATTGTTTTCTCTCAAATATCATAATTATCACCTTTGAGAAGATGTTTCGTCAAAGAATTAGCCGCGCTTTCAGATGGGTGGATGTAGTACAGGGAGGTAGGGTCGTGTATGAGCCTGACGTTCTTTGTTCCTTCGGTTGACATGGGGACGAAACACGAAGCACCGACGTGAGGCGGTGGTTACACGACCGACGTGAGCCGGGGTTGAGGTGGAAGCCGACGAGAGCCGGTGCTGCAAGGCTGGTGACCGACGTGAGTCGATCGAAGAAGGGCGACCGTCGTGAGGCGGTCGGTGAAGCTACGGTGGCGGCACCGTGCAAGGGAAGAGACGAGCCTAGGGTTTGAGAGAATCCCATGAAATTGGCTCCGATACCATGTAGAATTTTGTGAAAGGCTGAATTGATTTCCATTGAATATTCACAACGTATATATACACGCAAGTTTCCTAATACAAATATGGTAAGGATTACTTACAAGGAAATAAATACATACAAGGAAATAAATAAATAAACAAATATATGCTAACAATATATAAGCTCTTGAGTTGAAATAACTAATCGATTGAATTCAATATTTAAATGTGATTCAACCCAAGTGTCTTATTACCCAATCCAGTTATCACTACCTCATCCTAAATTCTATCCATTAGTATCTGATTTTCAATTTATTTTTCTTTTTTTGGTTGTTTTTTATTTTTTTCTTTCAATTTTTAGTTTTAGAATGTTTCATCTTTATGTGTCCGGATGGGTTCACCAAAGGGATTAAAGCAAAGAAAGAAACACTCTATGAGTAGAGAAGACAATTGAGTGGTGTTGGCTTTAGACGAATGTTGTCAAAAGAAAATTGATCGAAAAAGACGATTTTAGTACCCAATATTGCTTATGTGGTATTTTGGTAAAGAGAGTAACAACATCCCTCCCTCTTTGGTAACAAGCAAAATCGGTAAGAGCAACTATGTCTTTGCCATTCATACTACATCTTTCTCTTTCTCATTTTTATATTTGTTATATTATTTGTTAAAGTTAATTTAATTTTAAACTTTATATTACACCTATTTGTTAAAGTTTATTAATATATTATACTATTTAAATTTATATGATTTTATTTGTTAAAATTATTTTTATACAGAGTGTTTAACTAAAGTTAATATTAGGGATGTCAATTCAACCCGAACCCGATCTTAACCGACCCGGCCGGCCACTAAAATATCTGAACCCAACCCAAGAATAAAATAATCTGAACCCAACCTGAATTTTTTTACCCGAACCCGACATTGGGTTTGGGTGTGGGTTTATATAATTTTACCCAAATCGATCCGAACCCGCACCCGACCTGACTCAATCTCAAATATTTTATAACTTAAAAACCTATCTATAGATATAATGAGCACTTCGTATAATCTCTTGACAAGGTGCTACTATATCAAGTATGCATTTTATAATTCTTTTTATAATTCCTTAATAAAAATGAGACACAAGAAAAAGAGACAAAAAAATTAGATTTATTCTTTTTAAAATTCCTAGGGTATGTCAAATTAGTTATTGGTTAAATTACGGATTCGGGTTCGGGTTTCGGATTTAAATGTCAAATTTGGGTCGGGTCACTTTTTTGGTTTAAAAGTTGGGTTCTAGGTCGGGGTCGGGTTTCATTTTTAAAGGTTGGGTCAGGTTCGGGTATAGTACTATCCGACCTGAACCCGACCCATTGTCATCCCTAGTTAATATGTTATCTATCTAATTATATTTAAATTCATATTATGTTTCTCCATATTTGTTGAAATTTATAGAGGAGTAAATTTCAAAAATAGTCCTTCATAATAAGGGGGTTTCCATATTTAGTCCTCTATTATCAAATATTATCCATATAGTCCTTTTATAGGTGTTATTCCACAAGTGGTCATTTTTTTATCTTCTGTCATGTTGGTGTTAATTTAAAAGTTAAAATTATTATTTGACATCAATCTTATGTCCAGTGACGTATTCTGATATTGATTAGATGGATAATACAAAAATAATAAGTACAATTGCGGGTTAGGATTCCATCGAAAGACCACATTTGTATACTATGCTTGTAGTAGAAAGTGACCGTAATTCACAAACAACGCATCAGAAGCGGCCTTTAGATTTGTATATGACAAGAAAGATATATTATAATTGTGGAATTATACTTTTAGCCCTCAAATTAACACCAACATGATAAAAGATAAACAAGACTACTTGTAACCGTCGTGGTAATATTTGATAATATAGATGAGTAAATAGGGAAATCCTCTGTTATAAAGGAACAATTATGGAATTTACTCTTTATAGAGAATACAATATTTATTAGTATACTTAGTATTATATTTTTTAAAATTATACTATTTTTTAAAGTTAATTACTACCTTTGTCCCAAAAAAGTAGTTTACATTTTTTGGGACATCTAAAAAATCATCTTTCTATTTTTGAAAAAAAATAATTTAAACATTTAAATTTCATCTATATGATGTGTAAAACTTAGTTATTCAAAACGATTTTAAAATTAATTTATATTTTTGGTTTAAGTTAATAATTGAAAAAATAGTTGTAGTAAGTTTGGTGAATTGCATATGTACACTGCAGTTTGTAGGAATAAATTAAAGCATCAAGCTAGTAGAACCCAATAATACACTAAGAGCATGTTCTTTAGAAGTGAAAAAAAGTTAGATGTTAGAAGAAGTTGGAAGAAATTAGAAGAAACTGGAAGAAACTGAAAGGACCTTGAAGAATTGGAAGAAACTGAAAGCAACTTGAAAAAACTGGAAGGAACTGGAAGAAACTAGGAGAAACTGAAAGGACCGGAAGAAAATAATATAAAGTCAACATAAATATCAAAATGTTACATTTTAAAAAGTTTTTTTGTTACGTTGCACCTTAATTTATTTATGTAGTATTTATTATAAATAAAATATTTGTAATTATACTTTATATATTACAAGATTTTGTTTTAAATATCAGACATGTCACATAATGTGATCAAACCTATTTTTCTTTCATGATTGACATTTTATTTTCATTGTAAGTCCTATTTTTGAAATAATGACATTAAATTTTTTTTTACATTTTTTATGTTTTACTTCTATTTTAGTCTTTTTCTCTGAACTATTTTGACTTAAATTTTTTTATATAAATAATAGAAAAATGAATTTTTTTGAGTAATATAGAGAAAGGTGAGAGGTCTTATATAAAGTTAGATTAATAAAACATTCTATGTAACTATTTTATCCATAATTTTTTAATAGAGTTTAAAATTTATGTTTTCCTGTTTTATCATAAAGATTAATATACAAAGAAATTGTCTTATTCATATTAAAAGTTGAAGGAAATATAATGAGTGTAATCGTAAAAATAGTGAGATGAAAAAAAATAATTTGTAATAATAATAATAATCACATTAAAAATATATCATTTTTAGAGTAATTGGTTGGGGAGTATAATGAATTTGAAGAAAATGAATAGTTGGAAGAAACTAGTAGTTAAGCATTTAAGCCCTAAAGAACAAGCTCTAAAAAATGTATAGAAAGTAGTGTTGGGTTGGAAAAACTGAAAACTGCAAACTGAACCGGGATAGATCAAAACGAACTAGAAAAAAACTGAATCGAGTTGTTATTGTTTGGTTTCCGTTTTAGTTTCACTTTGAAAAACCGAATAGTCCGTACTTTTTCAGGTATTTCACTTTTTGTATATGAGTATCTGTATATGTGAATTGAAAAAGAAAATCATTAAATATAAATACAAACTAGGTGAAATAACTAATTAGTTAATTAAAGTTATTTTTTCTTAACTATTAAATATTTTTTAAAAACCTAGAAATTTAAACACCAATAACTAATCCTAATACGGAGTTATATTAACATCAAAAATTTATACGAGTAATTTACATATTTACATGAAAAACTTTTATGTTTTAATGGAAATGAAAGTATTATAGCAAAAAATATAAGTTCTCCGTAATTGATATTTACATATGAAAGCTTTAGAAGTATTTAAAATAGGGAATTTCTTCGGTGCCCAAAGAAATAAGAGGGCATGCATGTCCCTCCACCCAATTCTTGCCACGTGTATTAATAGTGATGACAATTATTTTTAATTATCCACATCATTTTAGTTTTCAGAAATTGCAAATATCCCCTGCTTTTTTACTTGCATTAATCTTACCCCAACTCTATTCTCTTCTCCCGTTTCCGTTTATTAGTTATATTACACACCTTTAGTAGGTCAATTATTATTTTTTCATTCGGTTCTTTCCCAACTCAAATGCAGGCACGCAACGCTGTGAATCTAGATCTCCGGCTCAGAAGAAGCGGCTCCCTCGATCGCAGACCGCCATACGATCTATTTCTTCTTACCCAATCTCAAAGATAATTGTTTCCTCTCAATTTGTTGATCTTTATTTCTGTAATTCAATTTCCAACCCTAATATCTAGCATAATTACTGCAATTGAATTTCCAACCCGGTGACGGAAGGCCAGGGGTGCAGTGCGGCAGACGTGCGTGGTTAGGATTTGGGAAGAAGACAGCGAAAAAAATAGGGAGTAATTTAACGGTGATAGAAAACGGCAGAAGAAAAGGTAAGGGGGGTTGGGGCTGAGAGTTTAAGGCAAACAAAGTGTAGAGGTCAATTCTAATTTCATAGAATTAAAATGAGATGGACCCTTTATTAATTCTCATGCAATTTTATACACATGGCAATAGTTGAGTGGAGGGGCATGGATGCCCTCTTAATTTGTTGGGCACCGAAGAAACCCCTTTAAAATATACTAGATGTTTGTTGGGCACTCGACACATTTTTTTTATACATAAAACTAAATTTAATCGAACACTGACCCGTAATTCGGTTTTTGGTTTTGGATAAAAATCGAACTAAAAATTGAATCCAACCCTACATATTTTAATTGATTTATCGAGTTAGTTTTTTTATGCTTATAAATTTTTATTTTAAGAAAACCAAAAAAAACAAAAAAATAATAAAAAAAGCATAAAACCAAACCGAATAACTATTTACTTTTTTGGGTACTTACCAAAACAAGTTGCACCAAATCTCCCTAGGTGGAGTGGGGAACAGTTAATAATCGTGATTCATGTAAAAGGTACGGCTTAATTGGTGTAATTGATTTTTTAAAAATTGATGATATATGTCCAAACGGCGTTTCCCATACACGGGGAGAGGAGAGAGAGTTGAGAGAGGAATACGGAAGTTGACTGAGCTGCGATGGCAAGTTCCGGCGGCGGCGGGTCGGATGATTTCCCGGTGCTGGTCTTAGCATCGGATTTAGGCGTAGATGCCCGACCCTTCTTATCCCGATCGGAGCAACAAGCCGGAGAAGACAGGTGGCACGACTATCCCTCCGACCCACACGAAGACTTCTCCGATCTCGATGCGCTTCAATTCTTTCGTCTCGAGCGGGGCTCCGATGTTGCCGGTAATCGGATTTTTCGTATCGTCGGCAAATACTTTCCTGGTACTTCACTCGAGCCTTCGAAGCCAATTCATTTAATTTCCCCCCTTCTGTGCTTTCTAAGCTATTTCAGGAAACTATTGGTTATGTTTATGATCTTGAAGTGAGTTCTTTCGTGATTTATGGTTTACAGTTAATGCGATTTTGGACTTTATTAGAATATTTCTGTGACTTTGGTTGAGAATTTCGGGATAAATTTTTTGAATATGATCTGGTTGTATATGTTTTAGATTCATCAACTCAATAATACCCTGTGTATTCTGCGCCGGATTTTATCCAAGTTATAATTAACACTCAATCACTCCCTCCCTAAATCATTTACTCTTAACACAAAACGAATAAAATTCCAAATTTTTTCAATTGATTTTATTTAAAGATTGGTATATAAATAAAAAATAAAAATTACATTAAAAATTCTACAAAACAACATGTGACAAGAATATTTTATTTCATCAAATAGTCAATGAAAACACAAAAATAAACAAAAGTTCCCGCGATTTTTGAATAATAAAGTGTGTAAATCATTTAGGGACCGAGGGAGTATGTGTTACTCTTCTTTTGAACTCCTCTAGAAAACCCATTGCATCTCGGTTTTTCGAGCTTGTATCTTTGATGGATTGTTCATCTTATAAATAAGTTGCATAATCACTTCCTGGATGACTATAGCACAAAATTTGTTGTCCCATTCATTCATCTTCAAAGTCATTCTAGTGTTGCTCTAATCGGACAGATTGTGTGCAGCTCTTGTAATAAGCGCGGAGAGACTGAGAAAGTATGTTCTTCAGAAAATTCTTGCTGAGATGCCAGAAGGGCCTTTCTGCATTGTTTACATGCATAGTGCTGCGAGAAAGGAAGACAACAATCCAGGCATAACCATATTGAGGTGGATTTATGAAGATCTTCCTTCTGAGCATAAGGACCGGCTTCAGGTTCTTTACTTCATCCATCCTGGGATACGGTCACGGCTTCTTATTGCTACGCTAGGCAGACTCTTTCTAAGTGGAGGGTAAGATTTTTTCCCCTAAATTGTGTGTCTAACGCTTCTCAAATACTTTTAGTAGCTGGGATTGTCTGGATAAATTTGGTGACCTGAGATGAATTACATGGAATTAGATAATTTTACGTTTGGAATTTATTCAAGTTTCTGAGAGTCAATCAAAACCAAACGGACACAAGCAAGTGAAACCCCCGACAACTCTTTGAAATTTCATTATTCCTGATATTTTGAATCCATGAACCGATTCCCAGGATGACATCCTATGAGTAGGAAGCCAATCATGAAGAGGACATACACTTGAGTCTTTATTGTGTACATGGACCACACGATTTGGGTCTTAAGATGTTAATAATTAACTGAGTTGTTATATACTCCGTAATAGAAGTGTCTATGCATACCCAACAATGTTTTTACTTTTGTCATTGTATGTCCAGCTTATACTGGAAAATTAAGTATGTAAGCCGGCTTCAGTACCTATGGGATGACATAAAGAAAGGGGAGGTCGAGATTCCTGATTTTGTCCAAGACCATGACGATGTTTTGGAGCACAGGCCATTGACGGATTATGGCATAGAACCGGACACGTTGCATTTGAATGAGATGCCTGCCACTGCATACTCCTTGGGCAGGTTCGACTCTAGGTGGGCATATAGAGAGGCCATGTCATGAGGTCATCATCTACAACGACAACATAATTAAATTTGTTACAGTACTACGTATGTAGTATAACAAAAGTTGTTGTTTTTGAAAGTTGAAACCTTATTGTGCTTGTGATGGAGTTACTCATTACATGATTAACCATCAATCGCATATTCACATCTATACACCTAATTGCATTGCAAATTATATTGTACATTCTGGTGTACGTGCATCCAGACATGCTCCCAATTTCTCCAAAGATATGTTTTCTTTACTCTATGTGCGGTTCAAAGACTTTGCCAATTTGGAAAGGAAAAGAAAAGAAGAGAAAGAAAGGTAAGGAAAAATGATTTTGTGTTTGTTTATCAAGGAAGAGAAGAAGCGGAGAAATTTGTAAACTAAATGTTAGTCTGAAACCTGAATTCTTAGCCTTGGCTGTTCAATTCACTTTGAATTGATGTTAATAAATGATACCACGTGTAAGAGCTAATCTTTGTTTGAGTGTGGACAAAATACATTAATCTATTATTGTTACAATTATTGAGAAGACAATAAAAACTCCGAACTAGTATAGAATTGTGATTTTGTCAAAACATTTATGTTTGTTACATTCGGTGTGTTCAAGTTCAATGCACTCTGCATAAAATATTTTGTAATTTGTGAATTTCATCTTCGTTGTTAGAGAGTAAATATATCAAATAACATGGCTTTTATAATAGGGTGTTTCGATATTTAGTCATCTATTATCAAATATTACGTTCGTAGTCTTTTTTTATGGTTACATTCTACAAAGAATGGTAATTTGATGCACTCAAGGTCTATACTTAAATATTGGACCTTCTCACAGCTAAAGATGACATGGAACCTGTTTGGGCTTTTTTGGGCTTCTTTGGAATAAAATAAAATATTTTGTGATTCAACAGTGATTTTTCTTTTATGGGTACCTTTTCATAAATAATCTTTTTTAACCTTCTGCCATTTAGTGTTAAATTGAAAACTAAAAGTGTGATTTCACATCAACACTGTCCAGTAATGTCATCTTGACGGTTAACACGTACAACAAAAATGCCTATGGTTGTGGACTTATTCTATCCAGAGGCAACATCTCGTAGACAATGATTGCAGTGGATAGCAACTCCAACTGGCAAATTAACGACATACCAACAGTGGCACTTGACATTGGCTATGACAAGAAGGATATATGATCGTAGTGAAATTACACTTTTAGCCCTTAATAGGGAACTAAAAAAGGACCATGCACGGACGCAATATTCCATAATAGGGAATTAAATATGAAAATGGTGGGGTTCTAGTGACACCCACGTTTGGTGACACTTGCGGTGCCACTGTCATTTTGGGGCACTTCCAGTGATGCGTTCGTAAAATTGACGGTTCCAACCCAGCTAACCCACCCCCTAAACTCCCCACCCTAACCATGCCCCTGCACTCCCACCCCAACCCCGCCTTAAGCCCCCCCCCCCCCCCCCCCNTATGCAATGCATATTTTGTGAGAGCTTACGGAGGGGTTGGGGTGGGGGTGCATGGGCGGGAGTAGGGTGAGGATTTAGGGTAGGTTAGGGTAGATAGGAACTGTCAATTTCATACTCCGTGTCACCAGAATGACTGTGGCACCAGAGTGTCATCGTACTCCGTGTCACTAGAACCCCACCGATATGAAATATATTCCTTCATAAAATATCACTTATAGAATTTACTTTAAAATTTAAAACATACTTCCTCCGTCCTAGTGTATTTGTTTAGTTTGACTTTTTCGAGTCAAACTAGACAAACTTTGAGCTTCAATTAAATAAAAACCGTAATACGGAGTATATTTTAACATAAAAATGACTTTATTGGTCGTATTGAGAACTTTCAAAATTGTATTTTATTATGCTAATATGCAATATAAATATAGAGTAATTGAAATTTAAAATTTGTCCAGTTTGACTCGAAAAAGTCAAACATGACAAATATACTAAACTAGGTAGTATATAGGGTGTGAGAATGGTGTGTGCGTGCAAACTAACCCTACCTTGAAATTGAAAGACTACTTCTAGTCCTCGGCTCAAAATACATGCACCAACGTGCCTAATCTATTTTTTTCGAGATATCCGTATTAAAGAGCATTCCATATCGGAAAAGTGTGAGTAAATTAATCGTTATATAAGCTCTTGAGTTGAAGTAACTAATCGATTGGATTCAATCTTTTAATGTAGTTCAACCCAAGTGTCTTATTGCCCAATCCAATTGTCTATACCACATTCTAAATTTATCAATCCCAAAGTAAACTTCTTATTTTGTTTTTCTTTAATTAAGAAATTAAAATTTAGATCTTTTTATCTTCATAATTTTCAACGATTAACTTTTTTCCTTTTCAACACTCGGTATTTTTTTAAACATGGTAATAGTAAAATTAAAAACCATTTCCTAAGACAAGAAGTATATTTTCCTAGGAGATAGGAGGTGATGAAGGCGAAGGAATCGGAGAGAATGACAAAGAGAAATGGAAGGTAGGAGTGTTTTTCTATCTTTTGCATGGCTCTACGTTGTTGAACAATGCAGCTAGATTATACAAAACAAAATTCTCCCATCATCCATGCATGCATAATCTGCACGTTATTAGCAATTTGATTCATCAATGTCGATCTGATCTTTAACATACTACAACGTACCGGACAACAAAAGAATAAATGTGATGAAAGCCTGGGAGGCAACGGTGAGGAAGACGCAGGCGGCCGCCAAGAGACGGGCCCACACAATATTCGGAACGTACGGAGGCTCCACCGTAGAGGAACTCAACGACGAGGCCGTAGCCGACGTCGACCAAGATGAGCCGATCGCTGTCGTCGTGCTTAACTGCGGGCGCGCAAACGGAGAGGTGTACCATGCCGACAGGTTTCTTCCGAACGGCGATTACTACACGGGGCAGTGGGCGGACGACGCCCCCCACGGCCACGGTAAGTACTGGTGGACCGACGGGTGTATGTACGTCGGGGATTGGTTCCGCGGCAAGCCGATGGGGAAGGGCACGTTCAGCTGGCCGTCGGGGGCCGCATACGAAGGCCATTTCAAGAGTGGGTATCTGGACGGGGACGGGACGTACACCGGCCCCACCGGAGACACATTCCGGGGATCATGGGTGATGAACATGAAACACGGGCTCGGCGTGAAGGAGTACACGAACGGGGACACGTACAACGGGGAATGGTGCAGGGGGTTGCAGGAAGGGCAGGGGAGGTACACGTGGAAGAACGGGAATTACTACGTCGGAGAATGGAAATCCGGCAAGATTTCCGGCCGGGGAAACATGTACTGGACGAACAGTAACATGTTCGAAGGGATTTGGGAAGACGGGCTGCCCAAAGGGCACGGGACGTACAGATGGGCAGACGATAGTTACTACGAGGGGAAATGGAGCCGAGATGAAAACGAACGAACGGGGACGTTGCACCCGCAGAATCCGGAGAACGAATGGAACCCCGCGGAAGTTTATGACGTAGAGTTGAAGGAATGCAAGGTCTGCCCCATAGAGAAGGTGTCGGTTTTCCCGTCTCAAAAGCTTGCGGATTGGAAATCCGCAAACATGGCCGCGGCGAAGCACCGGAGAATGTCGGCTGACGGGAGGCTGGACGCAGCAGTGGATAAGGAGTTTGCAGGAATGAGGTTGTCGGACTGTGGGGGGACGACGCCCACCAGCATCTTCTGCGCTCCAGATGACACGTTTGTGGGTCTGCAGCAGCACGAGGATGGTGGGGTGACGGTGATGAGCAGAGGGGTGAGCCCTCTCAGGATCATTCCCAAGATTGTAAAGAAGCAAGGAGAGACCATCTGTAAAGGGCACAAAAGCTATGAGCTGATGCTGAATTTGCAGATGGGTATCAAGTAAGTGGCTAGCTAGGTTTTCTTAATTTGGACACTAGTAAATTATTAATAATAATTAGTAATTAAGTTATATATTAGGCATTCTGTTGGGAAGGTAGGAGCTGCTGCGTCATTGGATCTGAAAGCATCAGCGTTTGATCCCAAGGAGAAGTATTGGTCAAAGATTTCACCCGATGGATCCAAGAGTTTATTGCCCTTTCAGTCATGCGAATTCAGATGGAAGGATTATTGTCCAAAAGTTTTCAGGTAATAATAGAAATAACAATAATATACTCCCATCCTCTCATCATAATTTTGTCAAACTTGGATACTCTCTGACATACAAATTAAACAACATAATTTGAATAAATGGGTGGTACACACAGGGCATTGCGGTTGCTGTTCAAGGTGGAACCCAACGACTACATCAACTCCATATGCGGAAACGATGCGCTTCGGGAACTCTCTTCTCCCGGGAAGAGTGGGAGTTTCTTCTACTTGACAAACGACGACCGTTACATGATCAAAACCATGAAGAAGTCTGAAGTCAAAGTGAGGAGATCGATCCGATAGACATAATATTACAACTAACAACATATGTGTTCAATTTACTCACTTCATTCATTTTCATACAATGATATACGATGTGCTTGTCGATCAAGGTGCTAATAAGGATGCTAAACGCCTACTACAACCACGTCCACGGCTTTGAGAACACCCTCATCACCAAATACTTTGGGTTGCATTGTTTGAAGCTAAATGGACCCACCCAAAAGAAGGTGACATCCTAAACTTAGCTTACTCATTTCCATGCAAGGCCACTTCATTCATTCATTCATTTATATGTTTATAAATAATAAATTGAAGAGGAATAAATTCTCTTCGATCATATATGTTCGTTGGTTAAGTATAATGAGCCTCCTCTCCTTATTGTTTAGGTGCGGTTTGTCATCATGGGGAACCTCTTCTGCACCAACTACACGATTCACAGACGATTTGACCTTAAAGGGTCAACGTTTGGGCGGTTGACAGATAAGCCCGAATCGGAGATCGATTCGACCACGACTCTCAAAGATCTTGACCTCAACTTCATATTCAGGTTGCAACATCCATGGTTTCAAGACTTCCAGAGGTACCCTTGACCAAATTAAACAAGCTAATTAAGCGTTATATATTGTTTCTACACATATACGCATATTTACGCATGTGCGAAAATATATTCGTTCAATTGAATGTGCGCGCGCATGCAGGCAAGTAGACAAGGACTGTGAGTTGCTCGAGCAAGAGAGAATAATGGATTACAGCCTTCTTGTGGGTGTCCATTTCAAAGAACCAACAAGCAGTGGAGATTCAACGCCCATTATTAAAAACGGTTGCGTTTCACCTCAAGCCGATGGCGGTGCCTCAGAAGAAAACAAGTCTCACCGTCATCCACCAGATGAAGAAGAAGAAGATGGCAGTGATGATAACGCATCGAGGTCGTATAAAAATGCTACATGTTTACAATCTTTTTGGAAAAACGAAGTAGTAACAATAATAACGGTTGTGTGCATGTGATGATGATGGAGTGGACAGGAGGAGGAATAAAGGTGTGGCGAAACTGGGGATAAACATGCCAGCAAGAGCGGAGAGGACGGAGCGGAAGAGCAGCGAAGGGGAGTCGATGGTGCAGCAGCTGGTCGGAGAAGGGACGGGGGAGTGCTACGATGTGGTGCTGTTCTTTAGCATCATCGACATACTGCAGGACTACGACATCACCAAGAAGCTTGAGCATGCGTACAAGTCCATCCAGTGCGACCCTAACTCCATCTCTGCTGTCGATCCCAAGGCCTACTCCAGGCGCTTTCGTGATTATATTTTCAAGGTCTTTGCAGAGGATTATAATGCTTGAATATATATATATATATATATATATATATATATATATATATATAATTAATGGAGGCATTTCATCCATTCCTCCACCCTTTTTTTTGCTTTCTCTTTCTTTCTTCTCTTGTGTTTTGTTTTGTAATTATGTATGGAAATAGGCCATGTTGATTTTTTTTAGAGGCATATGCATGCATGATTGTATATATTGTATTAATGACTCCAATCATAGTTGAGCTCCATTCCTTCGGAGCCTGCATAATATACATCTATCTATCTATCTTAGTTTCAAGCATTAACTTCTTCAGTACTTCGGTTGAAAGGAGGAAAAAGGAAATATAATAGTTCAAATGTTTTGTTTGGTGAAGATATGAAGAAGAATTGCTCTTCCACTTATGAGGCAATGTGCTTGATGGTGTGTAAAGTGATAAAAATGTGTATGCTATGGTCGGTGTAAATATGTTTAGAAGTTTAATTGGTTGAAACACTTTCAAAAAAATTGGGAAAGAAGATGGGGCAACGGAGTGATGGCCATCATTTGAAATGGGACAACGCCCCTTTACGGTTGAAGCGTAATGGGGGAGGGGAGGAGCGGGGTGACGCACGATTATAAAGCCCTTTGACTTTTTAAATACAAGTCAAATTTGATACCATCCTGTTACAAATGATACCCCGAAGGAGCACTGAGAGTAGGGGTGTTCATCTATAGGCCAGGACCGGAAAAACCGACCGAACTGGACCGATCGGTCCAGACCGAACCCGGACCGAAAGAATATCGGGTCGGTCTTCGGTCCGAAGTATTTTTAATTTCGGGTTTCGGTCCGATCCGGTCATTACCCAATTTCCAATCGGTCCGGACCGAGATAGACCGATAACCTACTTCTTTCTAATTTTTATGTTCCGTTCAAAATAAGAGACTACTCCCCGACCTTATCCGTAAAGACCTTTAATCGTATCCATATGCTTTCTGTGTTCTTCGAGAGCCTGAAACTTTGCCGATTCACCTTCCTCTGTGTCGCCATCGACGAGAGCCGTCTCGCACAGTCGCACTCTGGAGCCTAAGTAGCCGTTTCGCACACGCTCCCACGCTGTCTCGCACAGTCGCCATCGCCGAGCGCCTGAGTAGCCGACTCCCTCAATCGAAATTGAATCAGGTATGGCCGTATGGGTACTCAGCGCGTCTCCCTCGTCTCCTTCTATCTAATCCCTAGTCTCCTTCTCTATTAGGTTTCTTGTTAAATTATTCCCATTATATTTGTAGGGTTTAGCCAAATTGTATTATTCTTAGACTTTGTTTCCGAATAACATTTGTCAATTGTTAAATATAAAAAGCTGCAATGTCAATTGTTAATCGTTTGTCTATTGATTGTCAATTGTTTTAAAAAAGCTGCAATCTCAATTGTTAAATAAAAACTTGAGAGTAATCTGATTTTTAAGCTGCAATGTCAAATGTTAAAAAAACTTGAGAGTTCTTTGATTTTGAAGCTGATTTTTCAGTCCAATCGGTCTATTCCGGTTCGGTCCAACAGATTTCGGTCCGGACCGGTCCAAGACCGACTGTAAATAGGTCCGGTCTTCGGTCCTATATTTTTTTAATTTCGGTCTTCCGTCCGGTCCAGGACCGATGAACACCCCTAACTGAGAGAGGGGGAATTGTTTTCATGTAAAAATGAAAATTTAAAAACAAAATTTATTCTAAGATTAGAGTAGATGAAGATATTCTATAGCACTAAACCACTCCAACTGGACATTAGCTACGACCAAACACACGATCACTACACATTTACTTAGGTGCACTTCAAGTCATCCAACTCAACCAAACTGAATGAAATGCTTTATTCTTTGCAAGTAATTTACCAAGGTAATGGTAAGTCAGAACATTCTTGTTCTATTTTATTTGAACAAATAATCCTGCCAGTGTTGTTATAAAAAGGGGGTTGAGCCAATTTTACAAATTCCAGGTCGCCCGAAAATTTGGGCACTTCATTCAAAAAGAATTGCAACACAAAATTGTAAAGTAATGGTGCAAAAAAGATCTCGGCGAACTAAACGTAGCAAATTAAAGAGAAGCAGCAAATATAATACTCGACCCATATGGTAAACACCAACAAGAACACGAGTCTTCAAATATTGAAAAACAAGCGTACAGTGCAAACAAGGCAATATCCCAAAACAGTAAAAAGTAGAAACAAAATGCATAAGGAGTGTGTAACGGTATACTCCGTTTTTATTTTCCCCACCGAAAATCATAGCTATAGCCATGATTTTACTTTTTCGTTTTCCTTAAATCCTTCACATAATCTTTTTTTGGTACGAAGGATGTCATCGTACTATATAAAAGCAGACCTGAGGCACGAGAACCACCAGACAGTGCGCTGTACCGTTCTCCCCTCTACCCGTAACCACGCATCCTTGAGGCAGCAAACCTTATTATAAGCTGCAGAAGCAGCTACGTTTGCCCAAACTTCCCTTCCATTTCAATTCGCTTCCAGCTTTCAACCATAAAAGTATTGATACCATAAGAAATTGAACTATACGTAGAGGCTCGGTTACCAATTCTTGTACCCTATTGATTAATGCCACAACCTCCACTCACCAAGTCTGGAAAGCTAGGCACCAGCTGCATGTAAGCAAAGACAGGGCACACATAACACATCGCTTACATGTTCTTATTTTTAGAAAATAAAAATTGAAAATACTGTTCAGTTTGAAATATTACTGATGCAAATCTCCTAACAACCCCAGGCTATGTTTATTGTTTAGAAAATAAGAGATGGTAGGGTAAAGACAAAAGGCTAAGGGAAGTGTTTTTCTTTTTTCTTTTTCTTTTTTTTAGGTGGTAAAGGCCAAAGGGAAGGAAATCAAATTTGGTTACAATGTTTAAAGAATTTAGATAATCTACTAGTTAGGCCCAGTTTGGGAATAGCGTTAGAGATTAGCGTTGGCATTTTGAAAAGACTATCTACTAGCGGTGTTTAGCGTTAGCGTTTTCAAAGTAATCTGCACCATTAAAATTTTATCCAAAACGCTAACGCTAATCTATAACGCTATTCCCAAAACAAGCCCTTAGTTTGTATAAAAGAAACATTTTCGTAAAAAGAATCCAAACAAAACATCTAAAACTGATGCTATGACTAAAACCATTTTTCCCCAAAAAAAATTCTTTTCATTCTCAACTCTCCCCTATTTTCCTTCTTATTTTCATCCCTAGCACTTTAGAGTTCCAAACGGACACATGAAAAAGAAGAAGCAAGGAAGCAGTGATCAGTTATGTAATGAATGCATTAAAGCAAGTAGATACCTCTTCCACAGCAAGTGCCCACAACAATCCAAGACCATCCATGCAGCATAAAAAACTTTTAGTAACACAATCCAAACTGCTAACATGATGGCTGAACTTCATAGCAACTAAACATTTGATATTCAATGTCGTAAGTGCATAACAGTAAATAAACAAAAATAGGTGAGTATAGATCACATTACGAGAAATTAATGCTACAAACAAATCAGAAATTGAAAAAAAACCACTATTGTTGAGCTTACCATCTAAAATCCAATATTCGTCTCACACGAAGAAACGACCACCTTCCCACAGAGACTGTTCCTGATACTGCTGGGGCAATGCTGCAGTCTGTTGATTTCCTCTCCGAAGTTGTTGCTGATGTTGTTCCTGGTACATTTTCATTTGCTCGGACATTTGCAACTCTGGCCAGCCATTTTTGTTTTCCGTCTGGGGATACATTGATGGCACTTGTTTACCAGGGAAGGGAAAGCCAACCATGCCCATAGAGTTACTGTTGCTCTTGTTAGCAAGATGATATTGATGCATTGAATGGTCAATGATAGAACTGTTGAGTCCTATATCTGGGATAGTTGAAGGTAACTGATAGCCATCAAGCCACCTATAGTCATCAATAGGAGTGTGTGTATGTTCATAATTCAAGCTCATAGCTGAGGATGAGTCGTCAGTTGCTTTAAAAGCAACTGAACCAAAACCAGGAGGTGGGCCCAAGTGTCTAATAGGACGAGTCACTGGATTTTTCTTTGCGCCTGTTGAGGCAATTGAAGCTGGCCTCGATGATGTACAGTCCAAACCAGGAACTGAAATTGAATTTAACTTGGTTTCTAGATAACCCTCGGAAAGCTGGACAGGATCATTATTGTTATTACTATCATCAGCACTTGTAAAACTGATAGATTGTGGAAAAGGCACTGAATATGCAGCATCTTGGGTTACTCGAGAATAATCTTGCAGGTCAAGTTTAGTACACCCATTTTCCTTTAAATTTAAATTTGCCAAACCATTGGAGAAGCCACTTTGTCCCAATGACCACATGTCACAATTTGATTGGATGAATGACACATGTTGGGCATCACTATTGGCATCACATGAAGGCATAGGATTAAAACCACTTTGCAGGAGTCTATCAAAACCAGATGACAATACAGATCCTGTATTAATGCCAGCATTAGCACCGAGAGATACAGGAATATGTGCTGTAGTCATATTTGGAATCAACCCATCTGTGAGATTTTCACTTATGGCTGGCTGGAACACAATCACCTCATCTTCATCTTCTTCTCCACCTTGGGTGCAAGCCTGATTATTAGGTGGCAATGCACCAACCACAGGAACTGGGTCCTCCAGTTTGTTTTCAACCGCTTTTGAAATTTCTGAGGTATTAGCTGGCCAATAATCATCAGACATTTTTGTCTTAGAGCCAATAACAAACTTCCTTGACTTTGTGTCGAAGTAGACTCCATACTGCCCTACCCTAACCACATTAGCAAGAGCCTTCCCAGCTGCAACAAGCCTCTGGATCCTCACTTTCCTTCCTTTACTACCACCATCACCACCAAATGAATACGATCTTGAGAAGTCAAGTATAAGCTGTGCAGGAACAAGAGGAAGAAATCCTCTAAGTTCAAAGTCCTCAGGCAATGCAAGACGATAACCAGTCTCAGCTTCATCATACTTGCTCATATTGAAGAAACATGTCTCATCCTCATCCTCATCTATGAACTTTGACCCACTGGACAGTAACTTATTTAAAAATAGGACACAGTTGCTCCAGAAAAAAGATCTAGCTTTTGCTTGTGTTTCTCCTGGCTCATTACCTACTGCAATATCTTCATGGCAGGCTAACCATTCTACAAAAACCATAATACCTGGCAGTAGGTAGCTTGCTGCTGGTTCATTTAGCTGACCACACCTCTCAACCACATGGCCCATGAACTCAAAAACAGCAGTATATGCATTCTGTAAAAGAACAGGGCGCTGAAGAATCTCAGCATATGATTGGTTTTCAGCTTCCCGGTTCACATTGTACACTGTGAATATGAGGATAGCAACAAGCCTAACCACTGCAAGCCTGCATTCGGCATCATCCAAACCAAAACTGCACTTCTCGTCTGGTCCAGAACAAAGAAGCTCAAGTAAATCACTTTTAACCACGGAGAGGACTTCTCCAAATGTCTCCAAGCTGTTGAAAGATGGTAGACAAATGTCAAAATATAAGGACACATCAAATAGAATACCCTCATCAATAGTGAGCCAATGAACATACCTCGTGCGCGTAAATAAAATCCCATTTAACCGGACAAATCTTGTGCTGAAAACTTTGAACACATCATTTAAACTTGATGCTCGAACCTTTGCAGGATGGGGATCAGCTATTTCTTCTTTTTGTGGAAGCCTTGGGTCGCCCTTACCTCTTCCTTTCACAACCCCTCGTACTAGAGGGGCCTTGACGGAGGATCTAGCATCGCGCAAAAGCTGTAAGTACTTCTGGCGATTCTGCAAAAAGGAAAAAACATATTTAATCATATAATGCTGTCACAAGATCAGTCCATCCATTCATGCACATACAGTATCAATGCATCATGCAAATCTGGGAGATGAAAATTATAGGAATAAAAGAAATATCATTAACAGAGTACATCAATCTCCTGCAAATATTCTACTTTTATACCACAACGAGCAACTCAATTTATTAGCAAATCAGTTTATTTGCTGAAATGATAAAGTTAACAGCAGAATTTTACATACAAATACCAGCCTGAAGATATATCAGTAGTACGCTTACCCTCTCAAATGCAATAATCAAATTGTCCCTAGCAGTGTTGAGAACCGGGATCTCAGCAGAAAGACTTCGAAAATATCTATAGGTTGCAACCAATTCATCACCACAGTAGTTAGCCAAGATAGCAAGCTGAGAAAATTAACATTTCGTTAGTCACCAGAAACCATATGAGGCGGGTACCCAAGGGAAGTGGGTGAAACTAGCTAGCTGATTCAATAACTGGAAATTATTAAAGACACCAAGACATGTTGCAGTCAAAATAGAAAGGAAGCAGAAAGAACCTGGTGATGAGGACTACCACTTGCAGGCCAAAGAGAAGAAGCTTGCATGTAATAGCTTGATGCAGCTGAAAAGTCCAGGGCTTTAGAATCACCTTCTCCATACAAACTTTTGTAACGAGCAAGATCACCAAGATAAATAAGACATTGGTGGCAGGATATTCTGCAGTTCTTCATGTCAGCAGAATTGCTTCCATCTTTAGATGACATAATTTTATTTTCAGGATCATCAGAGAAATATCCTAGTGGAAGGCCATATTTTGCCCTGATTTTCAACATCAAGTCATGGTAAAATCCTGTTGCTTCTGACAGGAACATCTTAAATTCCATGCGAATCTTTTTGACCTGATCAGGGCCCTGGCCACCTCGCACAGGACCTTTACCATTTTCAGATTTGGCAGGTCCCGGGGCAGATAAAGCAGCATTCAAGCATGCACGCAATTCCTCGATTCTCCTGTGATGCAACTGCCACAATTTATGCTCTATTTCATGGCGCTTAGAAAAAGCATGATTCTCAAGGATAATTGCTTCATAGTTTTCACGCATGTGTTGCCATGCATTATGGTCAGGAGTTCTGTCCTGTGCTGCTTTCTTAAGCTTATTCTCTAATTCAACATTCTGAAAAGGACGCATTTGTTGCCATGCATTATGGTCAGAAGGAGTTCTGTCCCTTGCTGCTTTCCTAAGCTGAATATTTAATTCAACATTCTGAAAAACATTAACAAATATTACCAATGGCTTAATATTCTATAAGCATACTAATTATCATCCATGTATAGCAATGCAATAATACCTTTTCAAGGAGGCGTTGAGCACGCTCTAGAGACAAATGGTCAACACTATTATCCATCGGAATTGTCATTATCCATCAAGAGATAGAATTTTAAGCACAGAACTCAGTGATAGACACAACACAACTCTTTCTGTAGGAGAATTTTTCTGATTAGCTTCAAATTGAAAGAGGATAGCATAGTCTAGCTCATACAACTTACTCTAGAAAGTACAAAAAAACTATAGCATAAAACATAATCAAGAGCCAATACTTTCTTTTCTGCAGTGGTATGCACAAAAGACAGCATTAAAATTTGATAAACAAGCACAGCCTCAACTCCAACCCTGTCTTACCTCCTTCTCTATTGGGCAAAAATAATGTTAGCATACCCGTTTCTGTACACATTCATTGGATAAAACAAAAAATGACTAAAATCAAACAATGGTAAGTGTTTCTTAAGCAAAAATGCACTTAGCTAGTTCATGTTAATTTGTTTGGTGTTTTCCACCTCAAGTCGACAATAAACAGGTTTCTATTTATTTCCTCGAGGATACAACATGCCACCGTGCATGATCTTTAAAAACCAAGAAACCAATTAACAATATCCATTTCGTAAGCAGTATCCTCCAATATACAGTATCTTCCTACATGATGTATGTTGCAATACGGACATATAATAGCCTCCGCTTTTTAATATGTTTATTCAATAGTTTAAAAAGCTCAACCCACCCAGCCACACCTGTCAATCGGGATCCGACTTGCCCAATTTAGGGTATTCTGATCAATTTTGAACGAAATCTATCAAATTTCTTCAAAACATTCATTGAAAATTAAAAGCCCCAAATTAACTGCAGAAATCGTAAAACCCCCAAATTTCAATACGTGAAGAGACAAAGGCATCAAACCTCTCTTTCCTTAAAATTGATCAAGAAAAATGATCCAGAAGTTGAGTCGCGGATAAACATACCTAAATCAAAGGCAGATCTGCAAGATCCAGACGGTATTACAGCGAGATCCTCACCGATTCCGTCAATTTCAGTCAGAATGGATATGCGGGCAAGGGTGAGGCCATATACGGGAAGAACACGAAGGGGGGCAACTAGGGTTTGGGAAATACTGAGGAGATATTCATAAAACCATGACAGGAACGCGAAGGTGAATCGTAGTTCCAGAAGGAGAAGGGAAACGAGAGAGAAGTTTTCGTCGAATGAAAAGCATCGGCGAGTTGCGGGAGGGCTTCCGCTTTGACGGGTCGGAGTTATATGGGCGAAGTCTAGGCGGCTATGACTCACGGTGCCCAAAAGTCTTATCTCACGCAAAATTCTTTTGGGTCTTTAATTAATGCTTTACCCCTTGCTTAAAGGAGAGAAAATAAGACCATGCCTAGTAGTAATTCATGTCATTTCAAACCCCCTCATGACAACTTATTTTGAGTAAAATAAAAGGAGGATGTTTGTGTACTCCAAATATCCTCCACCCCCTTCATAATCATACAATTTTATTTTATTTTTATTTACTTATTTTTTTTAAATTTTCTTGCCTTTTTTTGTGGACAAGGAGGGGGTGGGGGACATTTGGTGTACCCCTAGCATTTTCCTAAAAAAATTGTGTAGTAATTCATGTCATTTCAAACTCCAAAAAATTGCTGTCGGGTACCTCATGTTTTGTTGTAAGAACCGCCAGGTACCCCTATTTTTCAAAATATACTCTCAGGTACCCTAAATCTTAAAAAAATATATCAAGGGGAGATTTTCCATCCACTCTCCGTCTATCCCCCTTTATCCGTTAATGCACCATCATCACAAAAAATAACTCTCAAGTACCCTCAATTTTACTGCGAGGTCCCATTTTTACAAAAAAAAAAAAGACTTACGGGACCCTTAAAATTAGATCTAAGTAACTAAGGGGGGCACTTCCGTCAAACAAAACGCTGGGTAAGGAAATCAATCCGTCAAGCCTTTATCCAACCTTCTAAGCCCACCCGGATACTTCTTCTTCAACGGACGCAGGCCTTCGCGCTCCCCCAGGTAAAACCTGCAACTCTGATTCTACATCAAGAGAGGGATGATCGCAGCTCCACCCCAATGTTGTACTAGTTATGTACCAGTAATTGTTAGTATTTCTTTTGTTTAATGGATTGCAACCTAATACTATTGCTAGTGTTTCACAGCTCCACCCCCAATACTATTTCATTTGTTTCTTTTATTCAATCGCTTGTGTTTCAATAGTATTGCAACCCAAAGTATTGCAATTCGCCAATAGAAACTCAATCGCGCTTCACCCCAATATTCTACTGGTTATTCAATTGCTAGTGTTTCGTTTGTTTAATGAATTTTCGTTACAAATTCCTTTGAGTCAAAGTAATTGAAGCTGCGATTGACTTTTCCCTAAAAAAAGGTCAAAACTCGTTAGGTTTGTTTATAAAGTGATTCAATTGTGTAACACATGCCTTTGTGTGTGATTTGTTTGAATGTTAACTTTGAGCTAAAAAAAATTATGCTTTTGTGAGTGAAGTAGTGAATGAGCTCCTCTACAAGAATCTGCCACTATGGTGATTGGTTGGATGTTCCAACTTGTAGGCGTGGCAAAGAAATGAATATAATAACTGCGTGGACTGATATGAATCCCGGAAGAAGATATTGGGAGTGCGGAGGAAAAGTGGGTGTAATTATGTTTCATATTTATGAGATCTTCTCAAAATATTTTATATTCAACTTGCTAAACTTTTGTTTAAATTATCTCATAGGGATATTGTAAATGTTGTTATTGGGAATGGATTGACCCTCCAATGTGCCACCGATCGATGAAGATCATTCCTAGGCTGTTAAAAAAGAAGAATTCAATGGAAGAAGAAGTGACCATGCTAAAGAAGCGTATTAAACAGCAGCAAGCAGGAAGCAAAATTGGAAAATTTGCATTTGGTTTTGTTGTAGGAGTACTGTTTGTGTGCGTTTTGTGCCTCTTCTAAATGTAATACTCCAATTTTATCCCCCATAACAATGTTAGTGAAGCTTGGTAGTGTGTTTTGTGACAATGGTGTTCCCCTAATTTATGTAATGGTATTACTCTTTGGTAATTATTTTTCATATTGAAGGCATTGAATACAATGTGCAGGGTTTTAAATTCCTCTCATTTATGTAATGGTACTACTACTTTATTTTTGGATTCAGAAGTATGAATTGAAGTTTCCTACTATTGCTTTAGTTATGTCAATCTTGGTTGTTACCCCACTTCGTTTGGCAACCATTAGAACACCAAACACCACTCTCGTGGTGGCTGATGTCCCTTTAGTTACTCTAGATGTGTACTTCGGGTATAGAAGCTTGGGACTAGCAACTGTGCAGTCAAGAGAGAACATGGTTCAGATGAATTTGCAAATAGAGATACAAAGTCTTTATATTACGGAGTACTTCCAAAACAAGTACCCAATTACATTTGCATCATATGCACTACAAGATTACATGGCAGGTTGCAAAAAAAAACCAAAACACAACATGTCAAACAACACAAATACTGCCAAGTTTGTAAACCTACCTTTTAGCATACCCCAAAAAACCCAAATTATACTCTTCCAACAAACTAGTTAACATACCCCAAAAAACCAGAGTATATCTCTGGGTTCCAACCTACCTATTAACATACCTAGTTAACTGAAATTTATTCTCTTTTTGATAACTTAAGAGAATTAAAAAAAATGTTTTTCGCGTAAGCTTAAAGTAAAAACATCCACAGTTAATACAACCTTGGGATCAAGCCCAAAAAAAACAATGTAAATTAAGTTCGACGTTTTATTCATTATTAAATATTAAATAAGAACTCCTTCGGCACGGCCTCCACGTTCAAGCTTTCCTCCTCAGCAGTTGTTTCCCTTGCTAGTACCTGCGTGCAGTTGAAAAACTACACGCTCAGCAAAAGCTGAGTGGCAAATAACCAATAGACATATATAACATGTAAATATTTTTTTGAGCATTTTAGGTTATTCAAGTTTTATGAGCTTTTTGCATGATTAAAATCATTAACTAAATAATCTCACTTTGAGAAGTTACTTGGGGACATTTAGAAAACACTTGACCTACTAGGTTAACCACAGATTAGAGACAAAGCCGTGACTAGGCTGGAACACTGCACTAGTCGATACATAGTTTTACTTCGGATACCTCCCCGTGACCTCGGGTCCAGTAATCAGAAGTGAACCCTAGACCCACGGGGTCATCGTTGGGTTCTCGTGCGCACGTTGTGGTATGATTATTTGTAGGCTCATCCACTTGGACAAATACGATCCGGCCTTATAACATGTGGTTAAACCACTTGGTAAAACGTGACAATACCTGGTCAGGGTATGTCGTTATATTAACTCTGAAGCTTTTACTTCGTCCACTAGCTATTTTGGTTAACTCTAGTGTGGTCATTTAAATAAATCACTTTAATTTTATGCCTCCAAGCATAAATCATTTCAAAAATTTTAATCGAATCACGTCTCCTTCTTTCAAAATATTTTACTGTTGCATGGCCAATAAGTCCTTACTGCCTACTTAGGCCTCGAAGGTGTATTAGTTCATACTCACATGTTTGCTGACCAAACATCACTGTTTATAACATCTAGGACAAAAACACAACAAACTTATTTACTTACTCATGCTTGCATTCGGTTCCATATAAAACAAATATTTCTTAAAATAATAAAATGGTAATACTAATAATAGTAATATTAATAATAATATACATAACCGGAAAAGTGTTATGTACCAAAAGGTTAAATTCAATCATGTCCATGTACTTGTGTGTATGTATTAATGGTTCATGTATAAATTAAAAGGAATAAAAGACTTATGTGCAGTGCTACACATCTGTGTTAGATTTTTTTACCCTTTGGTTTAAAAAAAACAAATTATTCGTACTTATTCATAAATCATGCAAACATATTTATTTGGTTAAAAGTATATTAACATACATATCCTATGTATACGTGAATTGATTATTCTATTTTTTCCATGAATTCCACTACTGCCGTATATAATAATCATTATAACAACCCATCATTTTTCCTTACCTTCGGTTATGAAAATATTTTTTTTAAAAAAAGTACTAATGATAATAACAACAACAATAATAATACAATGATAATCTTATCATTCTCTTTTAATTTATTATCTAAAAGAGTAAATTCAGGTTTTAATTAAATAAAAGGACAGTGCACAAAAATATATTAACATGAAATATATATCTAAAGGTTACGGTCAACGGAACACCTTTGATGTTGTTAACGGAAAGGTAGATGAACAGAACTCCGACAACACATCCCCGCTACGCCACGTTACCCCAACCTCACTTAAGCACCTCTCATCATCTCCCTTCGGCCCCCCACCCTTAAGCTCTTATTTGTAGATAAAGTAAAGGGGTAGTGAAGGGTTTAGGTAGGTTTTTAATTAAATAAATAATAATAATAATAAATTGGTATTTATCTATTGCCATCATGGAGATGATTAATGCATGCATTTGGGTGCCCCTTGGTTCGCTTGTGGAGTGCGTGGAGTTGAGGAGGAAAACCAAAAGTTTTCCTTCTCTGTTTGATTAGTATCACGTGTCTGATTTCCATAATTTTATTTATTAAATATTTATAGAAAAATATAAACTTATACCGTTAATTTCCATATTTTTCACACATCATTTTAACATAATCTGTTTGTTAAGAAAATAGGTTCATTTGAACAAATTATGTGAATAGTAGAGAACAAAACTAACTTTTTTATTCCCTTTCACTTTACTCTGTTTTTTTCATCTCTACTAGTAATTAATCATTTAATATTAAATTCCAAATTCATTGTTTCTAAAAAAACTAATAGTAACATTTTTAAAATTTTAAATTTTATTATTATCATTATTTCTGCATATATATTTTTTTTTATTACTTTTTTTTCATTTCTTTGTACTAGAAGGTTAAAATTTCTAGACCGGTTTTCAGGGCGTTACAGACCGTGCTCTACATTCAATTTCTCGGATTTTGGTTCACCGTGACGGTCGACTGTGGTTGACCGGCGGTCGACCATTGTTGATTGGCTGCGGATGACGGACTTCGGCTGGACTGGCGGCGGCCGACCGTTCGCCGACGGCGGTCGACCGTTCTGTTGACAGTCGTGGTCCGTTTCGATGTTTAACACGACGGCCGACCGTTTGTGTCGACCGTTTGGGTTTACGAATCTTATATTTGATGTTTTTGGGTATCTCAAATATATCTTTAAGGCTTTTAAACACCTTTGACTAACATATACATGTTGTTGGATTGTTTTCCAATATTTATATTTGTTGATGTATATTTATTAACTTTATGGATTTGATGTATTTTGATCTCAAAACATAGATGACTTATATATATGTATCATATATATATATTTTTGGGATGATTTCAACATATGGATTAATATATATATGTTCATGTACGTATGTGATGAATGATTCGACAAGTCTAACGCAAGGGTACAGACCTGGAAATAATTGGCCGAAACCTTGCAAAAGAACGGGAGTGAAAACAACGTCGAAATTCACCAACTTTGTCATTCCCGTCACAATTGGACAGTCTGCCGTATTTTGGGCATATCTGCATCGTTTCTTCACGGAATTGCAAACCGTTCGATTCTGTGGATTCCTAAGATGTAAGGCTATAACTTTCCTATAGAAATTATTTCGAGTTAACAGATGTAAGATAGCGTAAATCAGACCTGAAGTCAAGGGACAGTTGCTGTTTAGAATTTCGGATATGTCGATGAACAACGATTCCGACGGTTAACTCATTAACTTCAATATTCCAACACCAAACCTTCTCTACGATACCTTCCGGATGTTCCTAATAATCGTTAGAGAGTTTATGGTGAGTGTTTGGAATGAAACAACATGAATATGGTGAGGAAACATAGCCAACCCGAGGAGCTCGCCACCACTGGCGCAGTCCCGGTATTTTGGTCATATCTCCTTCGTTACTTAACAAAATTGCGAACCGTTTGTTGGGCTGGATTCGTATCGTCCGGGGCTATAACTTTGGTGCAGAAAGTATTTCAAGAAAATGGATGGAAAATTTCAGTTTTTACCTTGAAGTTGCTGCTGCGTTTTTGAACTCAAGATTTTGGGTACTTGAATGGTTTTGTTCTTGATCCTTCTCTTTCCTTGGCACAAAACCTATGGATGATGAGTTTCCCCTCCTTGCTGGAACTTGCTTGAAAGGATGGAGGAAAAGAGAAGAAGAGAGGAAGATGGAGTTGATGGGTTGGTGGAGGATGATGATGATGATTGTGAGAAATTTTGAAGTATTATGTTAGTGGAGTAAATAACACGAAGCTAGGCTATCTTTGGTGGACTAGTGAGGGGCTGATCGGTGATATGCATGGGATTTGAGATTATTAAGTTTGGTTTTTAGTCCAAACTGAACAGTTTTTCCCAAACGGTACGCGCTTTTTCGCCCAAACTGCTCCAAATTGAAAATGGATTGTATTTTTGGAATGAGACTGTCAAAACTAGAATTTTGATGCAATCAAAATGTTTTTTTAAAAACTTTTATTTTTTTTAGTTTCTGGGTCTGTCTCAGTCATAAATTAATTTAATAATATGAATAAGATAAAAATATTTAAATTATATCCAAATGATTAATATAATGTTGTCAAGTGTCAAAGATTTAGATTTCTAATCTTATGAAATCACTTTTGAATTGAGTTTAATTTATGGGTCAAAGTAATAAATTTTAATATTTAAAATTGTCATATCTTCAAATCTATAAATCAGATTGGTTCATAAAATGTACTGTTGGATTCGTCTCTTCGAGACATATCCATAAAAATAAGTTTTTAACAAAAAGTCATTATTTTAAAAATCCATTTATTTTTGGTCAAACGTAAAAATATTCTTTATTGGACGAAAATGATATTCAAAACTACTTTTGTTTTATAATAAATTTTAGGCCATATTTTGTGGCGTTACATTGTTGTTATGAGTAGTACTATTAATCCTATTGAGCTCTTCATATTCCCATATTAATACAAGGTATTACATGAATCTAAAGAAGGAAAGGTTTAGTCTTTAATTCCTTCCAACAGTCATGGGTCAACATCGATGTTCATATGTGAACATCGTTGTTCATGGATGTTCTGCCAAATCA